TTTGCGACCCCGTGGACTATACAGTCCATGGAGTTCTCCAGGCCAGAATACTGGAGTGGGTAACCATTCCCTTCTCCAGGGGATCTTCCCAACCCAGGGACAAAACCTAGGTCTCCCACACTGCAGGCGGATTCTTTACCGCTGATCCACCAGGGAAGCAACAGTAGCAAAGGCCTTAGGATATGCTGCATCTGATTTCCCCAGCCATCCTGAGAGGCAGGTGCTGCTGCCCGTTGTACAGATGGGGAAATGAAGGTCACAACAACAGAGGGTGATGGAGTCAGCAATCGGTAAGGTCTCTGCTTATTCTGCATGGTTTGGTCCGCCTACTCACTTTCTGCCCATTTCCCTCTGGGCTCCCTGTGGTCCTCTGAGGATGCAATGAGTGATGGGGTTTGAAGACCCAGAAGATGTGATGCCCAGGTCTCACCACAGTCTTGGTAAATCATGGTAAAAACATAAAAATCTGCTCCACTGAGGTAGGTGTCTACTTTCTGTCTTCCTGAAGGCACTCAGAGGGAGTTGATCTGGAACCATCTTAGAAGGGAGGGTGAAGGGACCTGCCTTGGGGGGCAGGGGATGGAAGCAGCCAGATCCTTAAAGAGGGTTCCAGTTTCTCCCAGATTTGGAGAGGAAAGGGGAGGGTCAGGGAACGGGGAGGCAGAGATTTGATTGCTAGTACATGTCGTGTCTGTGGCCAGTGGGAAGGAGAGCTGTGAGTGCCCCTCTAAGCCGCAGCAGTGCCCCAAGGACTGTGATGACCGGGGTCAGCTGTGGCTTCCTGTAGCCCCTGGAGCATTGGTAAAGGAGGAAGCCACTAGGGTCCAAGGATATGGCCTCCTCCCTACCCCTTGCCGGCTAGCACCTCATAAGCCAGGTTTCCTGTAGGGTCTCAGCATTAGGTGAGGAAGCACCCTAATCTTTTGGACGTGAAAATTTTTATGGAAGTATAGTTGATACTGTATTAGTTTCAGGTCTGCAACAAAGTGATTCTGTTGTGGGTTTTCTTTTTCAGATTATTTTTCATTATAAGTTATTATAATATGTTGAGTATAGTTCCTGTGCTACATGGTAAATGGTGGCTTATCTGTTTTATGTATAGTCATTTGTATATGTTAATCCCATAGTCTTGATTTGTCCATTGCCCCTCCTCCTCTCCCCTTTGGTAATCCTAAGTTTGTTTCCTATGTCTATGAGTCTACTTCTGTTTTGTATATGGATTCATTTGTATTATTTTTCAGATTCCACAGTCTTCCTCTGTCTGACTTCCTGGACCATCCGTGTTGTAGTAGATGACAGTATTTTTTTAATGGCTGAGTAATATTCCATTGTATGTAGATGACCACATCTTCATGTGTATGCCATGTCTGTTCATGGGAATTTGGGTTGTTTTCATGTCTTGGCTGTTGTAAACAGTGCTGCATGACATTGGGGTGTATGTATCATTTTTAATTAGAGTTTTTAAAAATTTTTTCCTGATATATACCCAAGTGTGGGATCGCTGGATCAGATGATAACTCTATTTTTAGATTTTTAAGGAACCTCCATACTGTTCTCCATAGTACAGCTTCACTACTGTACATTCCAACCAACAGTGTAAGTGGAGGCTAAATTTTATTTTGGAGAAATAGAGGGATGGGGCATTCCTTGAATTTGACGTTGTGGCCTAAAATTCAGGGCTGACGATGCGGGCATGTGAGCCGTGCGTTCACCCAGGGCCTCACACCTCGAAGAGCCCTGCACATGGTTTGCGGCTGTGCTCTCAGCATCTTGAGCCTCTTGATTTCTGAACAAGAAGCCCCACATTGTCATTGTGCACTCATGTATGAATTAGTAGCCAGTCCTGCAAAAATTCATGCCCCTGCATCCCCGCGTAGCAGAAGTTTCCAAGTCTTACATCTTTAGCAGAAATCCTCAATGAGGGCTGGAACAATTAAAGAGGATGCAGACCCACTGCATGCCACATGCACCATGCCCACCTCGTGCTTTCTGCACTGTTTTATTTCTATAAGCAATGCTTGTTCACCAAAGGGTTGGCTACATCTAAAACAGAGCTAGATATAAACATTGTAAATATTATTATAAAACTAAATGTGAAAACTATGGCGGTGCATAGAAATGGAAGCTGAGATGAAAGTGAATCTGCTGTGGTGTGGGGGCATGGGGGGCATTTTGGGGTGGATTTCAATGAAGCAAGCTTGAAAGTGCCAGGGAGACCTGGATGGTAACATGTGCATCCATCCCAAGCATCCCAGCTTGCTCCCAGTGTGAGCCTGGCCTGATGCTGACAGTTTGGAGCATTTCTCCCTGCAGAGTTCCCTCTCATTCTTTGTCCTTTAACTTGCACCGATCTTCAGAAGTTACACATTAGTGTGGAGTCTTCAGTGTATTTGGAACTGAACAATCCGCTTTTGAAGCTATCAGATCTTGATGTTTATGAAGTCCCTGCAGTTGGTTCCCAGGTTCTTGGGGCTTATATGACTTTTTTATGGAGTGAGGACACTTTCTCTCCCAAGGTTCTGAAATTCACACTGCTCCCACGCAAGGCTTCCAGAAGCCTCTGCAAGTACCTGAGTGTATGTAGATACTGGGCAGAGAGGTTTGGGATGAGAGCTTTGGGTCAGCGGGTGTGACCAGGAGCTGGGGGACTGGGGCGCAGGGTCCCTTTAACACAGACATATCTATACCTCTTCTCATTCACCCCTCTTCCCTACAGTCTCCTTAATTAACACAGACACTGCTACCTCTGTGTTCTTACAGGTAGCGTTAATCACTCATCAAGTCTGTATTCAGACCCACACCAAAGTGCTCAAAGGAGGGAAATGTTGTCAGTACCTTCAAGCTACATTTTATTAAGTGCTTTCTGTGTTCCAGGCACTGCTCTAAGCATCTCTCATGGTTGGTTCTGTTTAACCCTCAAAACTACCTAATGCAGCAGGCAGAGGAGAAAAATGAGACCCAGAGACACTAACAAAATTGACACAAGCTAGCAAGTGTTGGAATCAGAATTCAAAACCCAGCTGAACCCACCAGTAAGACCCCACACATGCTACCCAGCAAGCAGGTACAAAGAGGAGGCTAATTCTAACAAAACCCCCATAGTAAGGGCATCAGCTGACACCCGCTGAGAATTTGGGGGTTTTTGGGAATGAGTGAGGCCGGGAGGCAGCAGCCTCATCGGAGAGATGGTAGCAGCAAGCACAGGAGAAACCCTGGCCCTCTCACACCCCAGGTGGGGACCAGATAAGGGTGGGCTCCCTGTGGAGGCCAAGCCAGAGACCCAGGTGAGCAGTCAGTGGCCAGGGGCCATTCTGAGCACTGCCTGATGCGGGCCACTCTTCTGGTTCAACCCACCCAAGGCACTGGGGCAGCCTCTCCAGGAGAAGGTGCTATCACCTCTAAAGAGAGCAGGTTTAATGAGAGACCTGGTCCAGCGGAGGCTTGAGGGAAGCTGGGAGGAGAGCTTCTTCTGCTCTGTGCCCCAACGATGGAGTAGAAGGCAGCGGGAAGAGTCTTTGCTCCAGGTAACAGAAAGAGCTGTCAGAGCTAAACAGAGGGGTGGTCTCATCCAGGGAACAGAGGGAGCATCAGAGTGAAACTCATGAAATTGCCTTGGAGCTAGGTCAAAGAAGAAGGATATTGGTAATTGCACTTGTTAATTCTAATTTAACTCAGCTAGCAGCAGAGTGAACCGTGAACCTCCAGATGTTTCCTAAAGGAAATCAGTCCTGAATATTCATTGGAAGGACTGATGCTGAAGCTGAGTCTCCAGTACTTTGGCCACCTGATGCGACGAACTGACTCATTGGAAAAGGAGGCTTTTTTTTTTTTTTTCCTGAGGCTGGGAAAGATTGAAGGCAGGAGGAGAAGGGGACAACAGAGGATGAGACGGTTGGATGGCATCACCGACTCAATGGACATGAGTTTGAGCAAGCTCCAAGAGTTGGTGATGGACGGGGAGGCCTGGCGTGCTGGAGTCCGTGGGGTCGCAGAGTCGGACACAACTGAGCGAGCTGCTCAGGGAGGATGGGGTCAGATAGGGCCTGAGGTGTTCAAGAGAGCCTTCAGCCCAGGGGAAGGAATTTGCTGTAGCTGAAGCATTTCTCTGCACAGGCGCTTGAGGCCCAGACCAGTGTCCTGTATCGTCCGAATCCTGTGCTGAGCTGGTGTGACCTGGGCACGAGCGTTACGCCAACACACAGGCAGGGTTGGTCAGGTTGGCTGTGTCAGCTGAACATCAGGCACCCATGGGCTGGGTGAGCACGGGAGGCTTCTTAGAGGTGCTGGACCTTGAGCCAATCCTTCAAGGATGGGTGGTAATTAAAACAGTTGTGGGGAAAAGAAGAAGGTGAGAGCTGAAGAAATCTACAATTCTATAGGTATTTTAAAACAAAAAGTCACAAAACACTACAGACACCATGATTCCTTTTTTGCTAAAAACTTGTATGAGTATACACATATGCATGCAGACACTTGTATCTATTCAAAGGATGATATATGGGGGTTTAGCCACTAAGTCATGTCTGACTCTTGTGACCCTATGGATTGTAACCTGCCAGGCTCCTCTGTTCTCTGTGTATGGAATTTCCCAGGCAAGACTACTGGAGTGGGTTACCATTTCCTTCTCCAGGTGATCTTCCTGACCTGGGGATAGAACCTGGGTCTCCTGCATTGTTGTCTCCAGGCAGGTTCTTTACCAACTGAGCCACCAGGGAAGCCCCAGGATGACATAAGGAAGAATATTTATGAAAATGTTAGCTATGTTATCATTGGGCGTTACTTTCTTCTTTGTATTTACCTGTATTTTCTAACTGTTCAGCAGTAAGCATGTATTACTGTGTAACGTGGCTTAAAGGGTAAAGAATATGGGCTGCCTGAAGTCCTGTTGGCGTGTAGATGCTCCGTAAGTTGCTACCTGCTATTCTGTGAGTTAGAATTCTTCCTAGGTGTTACTGAGGTAATGGACTCCACAGGATTTCCGAGGCTCCTAGGATACGGAACAGAATGGTTTTTCGAGCACACTCTCTGAAGGCTGGCTTGAGGCCATCTCCTCGGCTTGCTGGTTAGTGAAATGGAATAATGGCTGTACCTACATCTGACGCTCTTTCTGAGCACTCCAAAAATGTTACTATTGGTTTCTCTGTCTCTCTCTGTCTCTCTCTCTTACATACACACCTACTCTCTCTTACTCAAACACTGCTCTCGGTTATCCACATGAAGGTAGTGTAGATGAACCAGGGCTTCTCAGCCTTCAACATGCACGTAAAAACCCTGGAAATTTTGTTAAAATGCAGGTTCTGCCTCAGGAGGGCTGAGCTGCGGCCCGAGACTCTACATTTCTAATGAGCTCCAGATGATATCGCACTGCTGATCCGTGGACCACCCTTTGAGATGTGAAGGTGAGGACGAGTTCATGCGCTTTTTGGACATCCTAGAACAAATGCTCTCCAGTGGATTCAGATATTACCTGTCAAACATGGACTCCTCTTGGGCAGCATTGCATCATCCTGTTCCTCTGGAAACATAAATACCTACTTCTGTGTGTGAGACTCTGTGCTGGATTTTCTGGGACATCAAAGTCTCTGTTGTGAGGCATCGCCCCTGCCTTAGGAGCTTATACTCAACACCTAAACATAAAAATGTAGGCAGCCAGTGAAAGGACCTATTCTGAGTGCTAAAGGAGGGCTGCAGACGGTGAATGAGAGGGAGACTCCAGGGTCTATTCTGAATTCTGTAGAGAACTTCAGTCCAAATACTTCCTTTGAAACGTTGAGGAGTAACACATGCTCCGGATGCAGGGTTGCATTAATAAGTCTTAAGTTTTAATGTGAGAGTCATGTCTCTGTATATAAATATATGCTCCCATAGGATTCATGGGGTTGTGGTGTATTGTTTTCGTAGTTACCAGTCTTCCTCATTCCTCGTTAGTGGGGGAGCCGGGGGAGGAGATATGGAAGTCATCAGGAACGTAAATACACAGGCTTGCAGCCATACCACACCGCTGCCTCTATTGTTTAAGGAGCATGTTTGTCTCATGCAGCTGCATACTGTGGGGCTTTCAGCTCCTGCTTTATTCCATTTGAAAGTTATTATTTGCTATGGAAACAATGATGTCAAATTGGTACAGGTGGGGCTGGGGGCCATGAATAAATACAAAGTAGTTCATCACAGGGGGCTCGAGTTATTATTAGGCCTAGGAGTTGCCCATTTGTGCAGGTCACCCCTCACAGGCCCCATGTTTTGGAGGCAGCAGTCTGCCAGGCTGGGGCAGGGTGTGGGTGACTCACTTGGAAGAGAGTGTCCATTTTGGTTTTTATTATTTTAATTGACATATAGTTAATTTACAACACTGTGTTAGTTTCTAGTATGTAGCAAAGTGATTCAGTTATATATATATATACAAAATCTATTTTCTTTTTCATATTCTTTTCCATTGTAAGTTATTACAAGATATTGAATATAATTCCCCATGCTCTACTATGGAAACTTGTTTATCTGTTTTATATATTAATTTGTATCTGCTAATCCCAGACTCCTACGTCAGCCTTCCACCCTTTCCCCTTTCGTAACCATCAGTTTGTTTTCTATGTCTGTGAGTCTGTTTCTGTTTTGTAAATAAGTTGATTTGTATTATTTTTTAGATTCCACATATAAATGATATCATATGGTATTTGTCTTTCTCTGTTTGCCTTACTTCACTCAGTATGATTCTCTCTAGGTCCAAGAACGTGTCTGTGTTTGAATAGCACAAGTGTCTTAGAGTACAGAGCCCTGCTCAACAGGAGGTGGTCTGCCCACAGACCTTGCGGGGAGGAAGAGAGAGGGGACCTCGTGGGGCACATTGACAGTGTGATCAAATGTTAGGATATTTTCTTGAGTGGTTGTTGCCTCAGGAAGCAGGAGCTTTTTTTTTTTTTTGGAGATAAGGAATTTCTAATCAGGTGGGAACACTTTGAAATGGCAACTCCGAAATGGGTCTCTCTGAGGGTGCTTGGGATTGAGCAGACCTGAAGCTGCTGGGAACTGCCTTGGGGCCCAGAGAGACTCTCCAGAGCTGTTCCACAGGGCGGAGGATGTAACAAGATTTCCAGCAATATTGACTCTTTTTTATCAGGTGCTGAAGTGGCAACCCATTCCAGTATTCTTGCCTGGAAAATTCCATGGACAGAGGAGCCTGGTGGGCTACAGGCCATGGGGTCACAAAGAGTCAGACATGGCTGAGCCACTGACCCAGTTATGTTCCCAGTGTTATGTGCTTTGATTCTCCCAATAGACCTTATGGCCTGGACAGTAACGTTGTGTCCAGCCCACAAATGTGGAGACTGAGACTTAGCAGGGCCAAGAGCTTGACAAGTCATAAGGGAATAACAGAGAGATGAGCCCATTCTGGTTCCGGAATCTGCTTTCCTGTTCTGTGTCCTTACACACTGAACCACAACCCTAGAGGTGGAATGTAATCTGCCAAGAGTGTTTCCTTTCACTAGACCCACACAACTCATACCTTGGCCTGGACAGAGCATCCGTCAGATCAGGGCCCAGGGAGACCTGGAGGGTGACCAAGCTCTGTCTGCCGCTTTTCACCTGGTGAAGGTGGTGAAATCGTAGCCCCAGGGCTATGCTCAGACCCCCCTGAACCGCTCACAGAGCTCCTTCCAGGGCTCCAAGCCTGTACTGAGCTTCACAGCAACAGTGAGAGGCCCGGGCTAGCCCCTGGACAGATAAGAGGAGACAGAGCAGGGGTAGCTTTGGAGGCATACTCAAAGCCAGGAAGGGGCCAAACCTTTGGGTACAGAAGTTGGCCCTTGCCTGCTGGGCTCTGCTGCTTGCAGGCCAGAGGCCTGGCGACTGCTGTGTGGGAGGCACCCCCACGGACCAGGATGTGATCAGGGCAGGGTTGAAGGCCCCTTAGACCATTGCCTTTGACAAGGCTGAGGGCTAAGGGAGGCCAGAAGAACCTTCAGCTAAATTTGCAACGATTTAACCACACATGTTCCAAACAACCCAATTAAAAAATGGGTAGACTTAAAAAGACGTTTCTCCAAAGAAGACAGACAGATGGCCAAAGGCACATGAAAAGATGCTCAACATTGCTAATTATGAGAGAAATGTATATCAAAACTACAATGAGGTATCACCTCACAGTGATCAGAATGGCCATTATCAAAAAGTCTACAAATAACAAATGCTGGAGAGGGTGTGGGAGAAAAGGAACCTTCCTACACTGTTGGTGGGAATATAAGTTGCTACAGCCACTATGGAGAATAGTATGGAATTTCCTTATAAGCTAAAAGAGTTACCATATGATTCATCAACTGCACTTCTGGGCGTACATCGAGAAAAGACAATAACTCTAATTTGAAAAGATACATGCACCCCAAGGTTTTTTGAAGCACTATTTACAATAGACAAGACATGGAAGCAACCTAAATGTCCATCAACAGGTGAATAATAAATAAGGTGAGGTATATGTGTGTGTGTGTGTATATATATATGTACACACATATATATGCAATGGAATATTACTTAGACATAAAAAAGAATGAAATAATGCCATTTGTGGCAGCATGGTTGGACCTAGAGATTATCATATTAAGTAAGTTTAAGTCATGGTCATGTATGGATATGTGAGTTGGACTATAAAGAAAGCTGAGCGCCAAAAATTTGATGCTTTTGAACTGTGGTGTTGGAGAAGACTCTTGAGAGTCCCTTGGACTACAAGGAAATCAAACCAGTCAATCCTAAAGGAAATCAGTCAGTCCTGAATATTCATTGGAAGGACTAATGCTGAAGCTGAAACTCCAGTACTTTGGCCACCTGATGCAAATAACTGACTCCTTGGAAAAGACCCTGATGCCGGGAAAGGTTGAAGATAGGAGGAGAAGGGACAATAGAGGTGAGATGGTTGGATGGCATTACTGACTCGATGGACATGAGTCTGAGCACACTCCGGGAGTTGGTGATGGAGAGGGAAGCCTGGTGTGCTGCCGTCCGTGGGGTTGCAAAGAGGCGGACACAACTGAGTGACTGAACTGACTGATTGAAGTCAGAGAAAGACAAATATCATATGATATCACTTATATATGGAATCTAAAAAAATGATACAAATGAACTTATTTACAAAACAGAAACAGACTCACAGACCTAGAAAACAAACTCTGGTTATCCAGGGGAAAGGGCAGGAGAGGGATACACTAGAAGCGTGAAATTGACAGATACATACTGCTATATATAAAATAGAGAAACAGCAAGGTCCTACTATATTTCCCAGGAAGTTATAATGGAAAAGAATCTGAAAAAGACTATATATGTGTGTGTGTGTGTGTGTGTATACACATACATACATACATATACATGTATGTATATGCAAAAGTGAAAGTATTAGTTGCTCAGTCGTGTCCAAGTTTTTGCAACCCCATGGACTGCAGCCCTCTAGGCTCTTCTGTCCATGTAATTTTCCAGGCAAGAACACTGGAGTGGGTAGCCAATCCCTTCTCCAGGGACTTTTCTTGATTCAGGGATCGAACCTGGGTCTCCTGCATTGTAGGCAGATTCTTTACCATCTGAGCCACCAGGGAAGCCCCATATATGTAAATAACTAAATCATTTTGCTGTACACCAGAAACTAACACAACTGTATATAAGCTACACTTCAATAAAAGAAATAAATGACTGCACGCGCTTCGTCCTTCTCCAGGACCGTCGCCTCCCTCTCGGCACCCAGAGCCTTTGTCCTGACCTGTGGCCTCCCAGGAGGGGTTTGCTGCTGCTCCGTCCAGCTGTGCACACACTCCACGGGCATCACTGAGTGATTCCCATGTTCCAAACTCGGAGCCTTTCGGGGAGGGGCTGGCAGGGCCCTGTGAGCTAGGCCCCAGCTTGAGGGTCAGGGTTGGTGAGGATGAGGCTACGTCATAAATGCTGACTTTGCCCTTACTCTGTATCCTCTATGCCTGTAGGAACTGAAAACTCAGAGAAGACAAAAAGAAATATTCCCAGCAGAAAGGATAAGTGAAAAAGCCTCCCTCCGGTTCTAACAGCATCTGGATGTGACAGGGAAAGGCGCTCGGGCCCCACAAGCCAGGGCAGTATCTAGATGACGTCTTAGCTAGCCTGACTAGATGCAGCCAGGCGAGGATGGTGTGTGTGGGAACGCAAACTCTGAAGTGACACTCGAATGTGGGTTGCTTGTTTTAATGACATAAAATACATGTCTTAGAAAAATATCCAAGAAATGAAGCTCAGGAGCTGGGGCAAATTAAAAGTGAACTTTATAATTATGTAAGCCGTTTGGGGGCTTCCCAGGCGGCTTAGTGGTAAAGAACTCAGCTGTCAATGCAGGAGAAATGGGTTTGATCCCCAGAGAAGGAAATGGCAACCCGCTCCAGTGTTCTTGCCTGGAAAATCCCGCGGACAGAGGAGTCTGGCAGGCTACAGTCCACGGAGTTGCAGAAGAGTTGGACCTGACTTAACAACTAAACAACAAGAAGCCATCCAGGGACCCCAAATCAAACAGCGCCTTAATGTTTCACAGGTTGCTGGTTTGAGGTCCAGTTTCGAGATTTCCTTTTGAGTTATTTCTTTCCAGAAGGTATATCCATCTCCCTACTGTTCTCTGCCACCAATTTTCTTCTCCACCCCCACCCAGGGCTGTGACATGTCTGTGCGGGTTGTCCCCAGCACAGCTGCGGGCCACGCGGGGAGGCATTCACATCAAAGTCTGCATGAGTCAGACCATCGATTCTTAAACTCAGCTGCACACCGGAGTCACTTGGGGGACTGTAAACATTATTGATGTCTTGGTCGCTCCTCCTCTGGTTTAACTGGTCTAGGTACAGTCTGGGCCCTGGGACTTTTAGGCTGCTCAGGAGAC